AACTCACGCTCCACCTTCGTCTCCTGGTGCAGCTCTGGCTCAATTTCTTTGGACTTTTTGCCTGTTTGGCTCTCGGTTTCTTTTTCGAGGTATACAAATCCGTCTACTAATGCCTCCCGCTCACGCCATTTTTGATTTTCTTGGTGATTATCTTGCTCTTTTTTGGTGGGTTTTTGGTCTTCTGTTGTTTGTCTTTTCAAAATTTCTTGTTCATCGGCTTCCTTTTTTTCTACAAACGCTTCATCTCGTCCTTCAGTCTGTTGTGTCATAATTTCTGGTATGTTTTGCTGGGTCGAAATTTTGTGATATGTTTTTGTTTCCCCCTGTAGCTTCATTGCTTCATTTGCCTCTATGTCGTTGACGTAAACGTACTCTCCGTTGTCATCTCTAGACGTATTCTCGTGTGCAAGCTTTGGCAGGCTTTTAGTTGCCCCTTCACTTCGGGTTTCCTTCATTCTTCGACCGTCAAACTCGGTAGCTGCCAGATTATTCGTTTCATAGGGAAGACTACTTGTTACTTCGCTCCTTTGTTGTCCAGCCGTTGACATTTCCATCTCTACCAAGTCTTTTATCCTATTTTTTTCTGAAGAAATTGTAATATCTTCCTGAATATCAACTTTGCGTGACGCCTCATCGTTAATTCTGGCACCACCATCAATTTCTTCAAGTTCCACGGACGTCGATTGGATCACAGCTATGTTTCTTTCAAAAACTTGCTGTGTAGCTTCAGGCGCGATCTCGTCGTACGTGATTTCTTTGTACTGCACGTCATCTGAGAGGAAGGTTTCGGTTCCATGGGGCTCTGAGGTTTTCTTGTCCCCTACGATTACAAAGGACTGCACCCCTTCAGCCGTTTCAAAACTAATTTCCGACCTCCTCTCTTTTACTCCGGTCATCGCAATCCTTCGATCCGTCTGGTCTTCTGGTGTATGAAACAGTTCATCAGATATTCCCGTATCAGTGTGATCTCGATCCTGCATTCCGGCCTCAGCCTGATATTCCCCATCAATGGCTAAGTGAGGGAAAACATGTGAGTGGATAGTGATGGACGTGCAAGGTATAGAACAGCAAGTGTTAAAAATTTGTGTTGGAAATAGCGACATTCAGGTTGGTGGAAATTTGCATGAAAACACAAAACAAAAGACAAGACAGGGCGTCAGAGGTGGTGGAGGGGAATGGGGAGATGAGGTAAAGCAAAACAAAACGTTTATCAGAAAGTTGCTAAATGCAAACGTAAATTATTTAGAGCAAAACTGCAAACAATTTCGAATATTTCTATGATAAACAGGCCAGTTCCAAGAGTTTCCATGCAACTGCAAACAACAACCTGGATATGGATTGTGTATAGGTGTTATTGTATTACTTTTAGGACTTACTCAACGTGCGTCGTTCACCAGCTACCCATTTCCTGATAGCAAGCGACCGATGTGACCAAGAGTTTCGCGTGGTCTCACTGGTCGTTTGATCAGCTGAAAGTACACCCGGCCACAACAAACCCTCACACAAAGTGCTGCTGAATACTGGTCGACGGCTCACGACTGGTTCCATCCAACTACTGGTTTACCAGGTGGGCGTACTCTCTAATTTTCCGTCAACCACATGTTCTACTCAATCCCAAATCGAGCACAGTAAGCCAGTTGCACCTGCTTGCACTTATTCGGTTTTACCGATATGCTCAACTGAATCCCAGTTTTATCTGTATTTTGTGGATGGGTTACACCAAAACTGTATCTTGTTTCAGTTGGTACGACAATCATTGGCGGAATGGTACCAGGTCTCGCCATTTGAAATCAAAATTGGAACGGCTGTATGGGACCATGATACAGTGTTTCCTAAATCATACGTAAGTATGATCAGCACAAATGTCTTTGTTGTGCCCTTAAAAAAGCGAACTATCACCAAAGGGTTGTTTTTGGGCAGATGATGCAGCAAGGTTGGTGACAGCATCCGACTTACGTAGTGCTCTCATTGTTTAGGCTCATCGCTCAGATGACCACCAGTTTTACTTTCTTAATTGGGTCTGCAAATTTTTTGCGTGGAGTTATTGAAATCGGTGGATAGTACGTCCACGCATCCAAGCGGTCATAAGTAATCGGGCCAGTTTAAGAACAATTATTCTGTTTGTAACCGTTCCAGGACGTTTGGTTGGCATCAGTTTGCATGGTCTTAGGCCATACTAAGCCACGTTTTATTACATAGAAATACACATTTTGTGAAGAAATTGTTTAGCTGTAAGCTATTCCTGGTATTTAGCCCTTCTTTAGGACACAAATAATATTTGAATGAACTAAACTCCACACAAAAATAATTCTACTTAACAAGTCGAGCAAATGCAGTTCCTGTGTAATGGCCCATAAGCCGCACAGTGCTCGTAGCCGCAAAACCTTTGCAAGTGAGGCGAAATTTTTTACGCTAGAATGTTGCATCTTGTTGCTGACATGCGATCAGCCCAAAACCGCTTAAATTACATTCATATTTCCGCAGCTCACCGAATTTCATTGTCCACTGAGGTAATCATACCTCTGGCGGAAAAAGCCCGGTAAAATATTCTCCTGGCTTCGCTGATATCCCGTGATGCCTATATGGGCTCAAAAGATTGGACCCGCAGTCGGAAATCATTTGCCTGTCTCATTCAGTCTAACAGAGACACGTCGTAGTTGTGCAAATACTGATCGCCTATACTATCGCCGTGTCAGCCAGTTTGATTGATTTATAGGTAAGTATTGGTGATATACAATCTTGCTTACTGGCCTTCGGCTCATGAGCTTTGTCTCTGTTTTCCATGCACAGAAATCAACGTGAGCATCTGTCTTCTGGGAACCATTGTCCCGTGGTGCCTATATAGCTTCCATAATACATATTTGGTGACCATGCAAGGATTGTTACCACGCAATGATGGTTCTACCACAGAGTGTCTGGCACCACACTTTTGCATACAGGCTACAGAGATACCACGTTTCCGGAACAAGTATTTTAGTAGAGCGACGGGTACTGCCCTCAGCCTGACAGCAAGCAAATGGCTGTCTCCGGGCAAAGCGATGTTATGATAAGCTAACAGAAGTTATTAATTTGGATCTTGTGTACTTTTTGCCAAATGTGCTCATTGGTTCTACGCATGCTTTGAACGGGCCTATACTGCGAATTTGAAGTCAAAATTCGAGAAGTTTTGGCTTTATTCACATGGGAAGTTGGAAAACTATTGGAAAAGAGTGTGCTCAGTAGAGAGATCTACGACAGACTGAACGATCCTAACTTTTTACCGTATGCTTTTTCATCCATCTAGTGGCAAGGCTTCAACGAAGTAAGGTTCTAATTCGTGGCCCTAGTGATGATTTATCCACAGGGGGCGTTCTGCCGGCCTCGTTTACATGGGCTCCTGTTTTATTCACATTACTCTTTCCAGGTTGCTCAAAATTTACAGCTACAGCGCTGCACTTGTGCCCGCCAGAAGAACTGGTGTAGACCAAAGAAGAACTCCAAACCGGAAGAAACTAGACCACAGGGAAGAGTAAGAAAAAAGTATGTAAACTCTGAACAGGCTTTCACCTGAAAGGAGTGTGCTGGTAGGACTTAACATGTTCTTAACATCTACAGGAACATGTTCCTTTGTCTTCCGCATTCCAAGTGAATGCTGTTAAAAGCAAGGGTGATGGGAGGTTGGCCGACTAGTTCCTTCTCACTGAAGATTACCGCTCACAAAATTATTGGTAATTTGGGGTTTGAATTGCCCAAGAAGGGTATTGCGCACTTCGCAAATAAGATTGTCACCTGTCCTAACCTAAAATAGTATGGAAAGAGTTTGTTTCTAAATAAACTTAATTCCGGACACTTGTAAATCTTGTGTTTATGTAAGACTTGACGGTAAATTAACGGCCTTGTCTCACTCGGTCGGCTAGTAATCCATTAGTGAGCCGTGTACCAAAATACAGTGATTCCAGATGCTACTGTTCTGTCTATCGAGGAAATGGAGGGACTGACAGTCATGAGTCTCGTCGTTTGACACCTCTAGGATTGTTTGATCAAGCTCGTGCATGACTATCTTACTAACTGAACTCAGCTTATATGTCTAGGCAACTGAAAGCTCTCATCACCGAAACAAAAAGTACTTCTTTTTGCACGGTATGTCTATGGTCTAATTCTTACGAAATCTGTTTTTGGTGCAGGTATGCTGATGATATTATGGGCGTTCAGATGCTCACAGGGTCTTGCAAACCAGATTGAATGATTTTGTTACGCGATTTCAAGAATGTTCCATTTGTCTTGATGTTTCAAAATAATAAGCTGTTATCTTCTTCGGACGATCATGCTCCCCAACTTGTTGTTAGTTCGCAGTGGTCTACGTTGATGACATCATCCAAAACCATTTGTTGCAAAATTCTTCGGACTTACCCTAACGAATAACCTCAGTCGGTGGTCCCATATTCCAACTGTATTTTACCGGTGAGTCTCTTTTTATTACCTGAGATTACAACGGAAACTTGTCCTTTTAAATCATATTCCCGAGATCAGTATTGCATCTTGTGTGTGTCCTTTCCCACTGGACGTATTGTTCCCCTGTCATATTTACTGTATTTTTAGAGAATGATTACTGCAAGAAGTATCGTACAAGACCGTGTTAGGTGTGATAAACCCAGGTGGTTAGGTTGTCCACATACCAAATACATGACCACCACGGTATGTGTACGGAGAAATACATTGAGCGTCTGTTGTCCTCAACCTTCCGTGCCATAGTACGTGACTTGGTTCATTACGTAAGCGGAAGTGCGAAATGCACGAGCTTACGACCATAGGCCGAGAAACTTAGATTGGTTTAAGTTATTCTGCGGTTAGATGACATACTAGGTCGATGGATAATGGGCTAACTGGGTCAACAGCACATGCAAATGCCAAACTTTGTATATTTGTGCTAGAACTTTAAATGAACTTTGAGAAACTAGTGATGATTCAGTGGGAACTGAGTGTCTGGATAATAGCTGAACCACTGGTATAGAGGTGAAACATCCTACTCAGGACATCCTGATCCAAAATTGAGGTGGCTTTTGATTTGCAAGGAGTGCAAGAACTTTACCGTTATTCTGTTATTCGGAGTGGCATGCAGGTTTGGCACTGACGAGTTGGTTATCCATGATCCATGATCGACATAAAATTTTGAGTAGGGCATAGCTTCCGAGAGTTTAGCCGGAGTAAGGTCCTTGGAAAATAAGCAAAGCATAATCGCAAAGATACAGTTTACCAAAACCTGCTGGCAGTTTGAGGTGAACCATAGGAACCCATTGTTAACCATAGATGGAGAACTGAAAGTAGTTGCAAATAGATTCCCCTAGTTCTTTTTACGTCCTGATACTGAGAAGTGCTCGAATGAACTTTCCAATAAGTCCATCTTCTCACCTTATCTCTTGAAGACTGACAGGTCACTCTGTCATTCCATGGTGTGTTTAGGTATACTGCAATCTGTTACTGCTCCTTTGCAACTCTAGGTTCTGTCACACTTAGGCCATGTAATTGAAGAATTCAGTCACTCTACCTATATTATAAAGAGTCCGTCACGAAGAGACTGAACCTTACCGTGGTGTGGCGGTTTGTGTACCTCGGCGACCCATTGAGCTATACTGGGGAGTGTCCGCACGATGCTCACAGAGTCTCTCGTACCAGGTTGGTCTATGGGTAGGGGTGCGACCAACACAGTCTCCCGGTCATCCAGGTTGGTGGTTGGAACATGTATGGCGACGTGTTCCGTAAAAATGGTAATGCACTTGTATTTCCAGCCGAACATCGCTGCCTTGCAGCTAGGCTTTTGAGCCAAAGGCTTTGGTTGAGGACCCCAATCGTCCTCTTGTCTAGGTGTGAGCGCCCTGGCAGTATCCCAGCCCTTGTACAACCATGACGTACACAACTAACAATATTCTCATGCCACATCGGCCGTCGCGTGGTGACATCAGCCTTACTTGCTGCATACAGCAGGGCAAGTAGGCGAAAACATACTATTACGGTAGTAAACCATCAGTGGCGACACTCATGTTGTTGTCTTTGATGATGATGATGATGATGATGGTGATTATAAAGATTCTGTGGACTTTTTGCCCGACCTGTCAAATAATGTTTTACTGATTGCACAGCCGTGCTCTTCAGAGTGGATGTTGACCTTGGTTTACTTTGAAAACCCCCACGAATTTATTGATGTGTCGGTCATAAAAATTGGAACTCAATGGATACCGTCGTGAATGCTCATGTGTGTATTTAATTTGAAAGAGTAATTTCGCACAAACCAAACTGAACCTTAGCTGCACGTTTATGGGCCGTTTGCGCACAATGTCTGAAGTTCCAACCAATAACCATTTTACATAAATTTGCAAAAATGTGCTTCATAGGACTGTCGCCAGGCCACTATCACTAAGTACTTCCTCAAAGAAAGCAAGTTAAGCGAGTAGATGAATTTAAGATGGCTTTTGACCTGTCAGGTGGAATAACTTTATTTATTGAGTATGATTAGTATCACCTTTGTAGGGGCATTTCATTCATTGATCAGGGGGTATTTGACTACGCTGCAGGAGATGACGGCCAGCTTGTATACATTTGCTTTGGAAGCCAAGACCAACATGAGTAAATCAACATGAAATAAAGCAAAGGTTTGCTTACCGCCAGTAGACCCGTCAACTTCAAAAGTGGCATTTTCCCGGTCACCTTTCCCCGGAAATTGTACATCCTCTTCGGTAGGGCTAGCATCAGCAATCAGTTCATCCGAGACAGCATGTTCCACAACACGATCCACGATGTGCTTGGTTGTGACGATTCTGGTTATAACCGACCCATCGGGCTGAACTTCCTCGATTTCTTCAACCTGAATAAAAATATATAGGGATGGTTCAAGTCAGGTAAACCTGTTGATCAATGTTGGGAAATGCTCCAGACCAAGCTAGAGTCGAGATATTACAACAATAAACGCTTTTTGCAAGTGGGTAATGTGATTTTTACTGTTGCCCACAACAGTGTGAGGGTCCTCATTAAACAAGATGACTGACTGTCCTTATTTTGCAAATTGGAAGTCGTTCTGAAGCATACTGTTTTCTCTTGTTGCTCTACGCTCTTTTACTGTACTCAGTGTCTCCCCAGTGACATCACTTAGACTTCAGTGCTCACATCGAACTGCTACCTCATTAATTATCCGGCCATTAGATATGAGATTTATTTCAGTTGGTTTTTGGACTTTGAACTATAATGTGCTGCAATTTGCACCGAACTCCAGAAAGGTACCTGGATCTTTGCTCTCGTATAAATATGCATGTGGAAGATTCTGATGAGCTGCTTCTGAAGTGTTTTTTTGGTGCTGGACTGAAGAGTTCTGTTCACTTTCAGGGGAGATTTCCATGTTAGTGATATCCGATATCTGATAACTGTGGCCGTTTTTTTAGAATAAGGTGTAATAATTCAGTTGCGGCCCCCAGGTATACCCTCCCTGTATGGACGAAATCAATATGTGGGAAATAGTTGGAGAGAATAGTCTCAAAACCTGATTTCTACACGATCATTGTGGAAAATGGTGAGAATTGTGGCATTGTTGTGTACCTACACGTCAGTTTTCATGCCTTTGTTGAGTCCAGCTGTTTGGGCTACTTGAATTGCACAAGGCTCATACCAAGCAAGAGGCCTCACAATGGATTGCACGTACATCTCAGATCAAAACCGCTCGTGGTTTGACCTCTCATGTGCGGGCCCCATGGTATAGCTCGATCCGGCGATGGATGTTGTTCGTTGAGTGGTTATGGGCCACGACGTGATTGCCCCGTATGATTTCCATTTCTTTTTTACATCCGAATTACTGTTTTTTTAATTTTAGACATCACATTCGACAATCGTGACTCCGGTGTCTTTGGTAACACAGTATGTAGTGGCGACCTGTGCGGCCACAACAACTCATTTTCGGTCTTGCCACACAGAATAAATTCGAGGCTGCTCACGTTCAATGAAGTGATTTTCTTTAAAGCCCGATTGTCGTGTCCTAACTAAAAAAGTTTCGCATAGTAAAACGCCACGGCAATCAATCTCTGCAGATAGTCGCTCAGATTGTCCAGTTAACCTTTATTATCTGGTAATTGTGGAAATATCCTTGATTACTACTGAACTCTTGTTGTTAATAAGCTTTAAGGCAGATCAAAATCTTTGGAAAGGTTCAGAGCTAGTTACCTCTATTTTCTCCTCAGGTTCTTGAACCTCGAATCTCCCAGATTCCAGTGCTGCGTCAACTCCTTCCTGCCAGTCATGACAAGATACCGATTGTGTTGTTTCTGTAATGGCTGTTCTGCTTTTTACAATCGTGCCATCCGGTAGGACTTCCTCAACTTCTTCAAAAGAATGTGACTCTTCCGGACTACTTTGTGTCACATCATGACCCGCGGGCCCTGGAGGGAAGGTTGGAATTTGAACGACAGCTGTTGCATGTTCCAGTTCAATTGGAATCTTTGGTTGATATTCATACTGTCTTGCCTCTAAATAGACCTTTTCGAATTCTTCATCTGATAATGCATCTGTGCCAACAGCCGGAAGTTCATGCTCTTGTTCGAACAGATCAGGTTTTCGAGGTTCGATTACCTCAGCCGCGATAGCAACAACTGGAAAGAAATTAATAAAAAATCACCATTCTGTTTAGGAGGCTGAAACATCATCACTAAAATTATAATCAACAATCGACATGTATCATCAGTTTTTTCGACATCAACAAGTCGGAAGTACTCAAATTCTAGCACTTATCAAACAATACAGAAGACAATCAAAATTTGGCCATCAAAAACGTGAGATCTTATGTCCAAATTGAGTAAAGACTGGATTAAAGCTCCCAGTTGGAGAGTTTGTGAGAAGTACGTAATCGCCTGGTCCAAGTAGTGATGCAAATAGCTACTGAGCAATGCAATTTCAAAAGAAAGACGACTCCATACGGGATTTGAGAGTGGTTTTGTGCAAGTGTATATCCCTTACGTAAAATCTGCTGGTATTTGTCGATCGGTTGAGGTCTTGCGCACGTGAAAGAAGTTCCAGCAATCTGTGCAAGATAGCACGACGTGTATTCGGTGGGCCATTCAACGCTCCCATTATGGCCATTGTATTCGTCCTCATAATCATCCTTTCAGTCCTTGACTTCAAAATCACAGACAGCTACTAGAGAGTTTCGTCACCTTTCGTGGCTATAAATGGGTCCAAAACTGAAGAGGGTTGATTTGCACCCAAATCAAAAACCTTGGCTGCAGCGTCGGAAATCAAACCAGTGGCTGGTTGCAGGAAAACTACAACAATACAATGTATTTTGCCAGAGGCTTCAACGTACAGGTCTAACTTTCAACAATGAGCAGTCATATAAGATGTAGACATGGACCCTCACTACTCAAACTAGACTTCCGTGCACCGTTTTCAAACATCGTGGCTCTGAAAATGTCCCATAGAATTGTGGCATGAGAGTACGTGTGAGTATACTGCACCCATATCCATGAATCAGTTCATCGATCTATTTGGTTCTTCACTCAAAGGAACATGTACTGCACCGTAGTTTCAGCATCAATAAAAATCCTTTGAAACCATCGGATGACATAGGGAACGGAACCAGCCCACCGACTCAAAACCCATCCATTTGACTTCTCAGAAAATCGAGATGTTTCAGTCTGATTAATCGATCTTTTCATGCATTTTCCACTGGTTGGTAATCGGAGTCATATAAAGCGTCTACTAGATCAGCTTGGCATGTTGCGAGGAGAGCGGCTGATTTCTCTATCGACTGCGGGCGAGATACACTGCAACGCAATGAGTGAACTATATTATTTTGTGCAGGCGGTGATGAATAAGGTGTGGTAACTAAATGCGTCTTTTCATGAGCATGTGATGGAATATGGTCTGTTGCAACACCTCAAGAAATGTTTCAGTTAGAATTCTAACCTATTACCAAGCTGATTTTCATTGAGGTAGTAATCCACGTGAAAGCCAATAAGATGAGTATGATCGTCGAGGAATTTTCAATATCCTCAAAGTCCCCGATGGTTTTTAATTTAAACATTTGACTTTTGAATAATTGGGATTCTGACCAGTCAGTGCCAGTTCACTAGTCAGTCTCCTCCAGTAAACAGTGACGTCTGACCTAATCACGCGAGACACAAGTCAGAGAACACCAAGCAGGATTTTAATCAGGTAGGGGTTGCGTTCACCACGCCTCTACATGACGCGAGCTGTTTGGACGACGTCACATACTGGTGACGGTTTTCATTAATTTCAAAGGAGCTTTAGACTCTATGTTTTGGCTTTTTTATTTGACCAATAAAGATTGCACTCGAATTCTGTGGATATCCTTCGTGCGACAAAACGCCTTTGGGGTTTGGGCCTCACTCCAGTGCTGCCACAGCTGTTAACTCCAGCAGTACCATAACGTCTGACTCCGTCAAGGTACAGACACTCTTAAGAGCTCCAGGCATGTTTTTGACCACTTAGAGGTTGGAATATCCGCTCTTCACATTACGTCAGCTTTTGGACAACGTCACACATACTGGCAACCGGCTGTGACAGGTTTCGTTAAGCTCAAAGGAGCTTTGGACTATATATATATATATATATTGAAGTGCCATCATGCTGGATGAACTGGCCACCATAATACAATCAGTGAGTTTGGATGTAAACCACAACTGGATTTCTGAAAGCCCAAAATGGCGAAACACAGACACCACAAACACCACGCCAAACAACATCCGCTATATTCCATTCAGAATGCTGAATCGAGCTCGATAATTAAGAAACCGGAATCTGGAAGTTATCGTATTTTTGATAACAGGCCAAAGGAAATATGCAAGGCCTGCCCATTTGACCGTTGGAAACTGTACTCGGATTGGTTAAATATCCTTCGTGCGACAAAACGCCATACTCCTGGTTGCGTTAGGGTCAACACTGAGCCGCACAAAATAGTGAGATTCACCAGGGGGTCCTCTCTCTCTATCCTTGTCCACTCTCTCCATCGGAGACATCATGGGGTGTACTCTCCTAGGGATGGTTACTCTGGATTTTGAGGTTATATCTGGTGGACCACTGCAGACTAGGATAATGCCTTGGACATTGTTTAATTTTTTTGGTGATCATGCGTCTGCACAAGTCGCTCTAAGTAGGACATCAAATGTGGTCATTTATTTTGACACGTAATCTAATGAACTCTCTTCAATCTTCGGAATGAGGAAACTGGTTATATTGATAGGTTCGCTTATCTTGGCAGCTGAGTGAATCAGGAGATGAAATGTGACAAATGTGGTCAGTGCCTGTATCACTAAGACGCTTGTAATATGTACAAACTTGCGTCAATTTTAGCGTTAGAAGGTTGAGGTTGAAGGACCATATTGTCATAGTGACCGTGAGTTCAGGTCTACTACGTGTCACCGAAAATGCGCACCCCCGATTAAAATAGACAAGAGTGTTCATTCACCGCTGTCTCCACTGTATCGCAGTATAGCAGTAGGTGATCAATGGAACGTCCGTGAGCTTGTACTGGATAGTGGGTCGGATCCTGTCGGGTAGCAGATGAGGCTTAGTTTGGTTGGGACATGCAGTACGTACGCTGGGCCACCACCTACCCAGAAGCACTATTTTCCACTCCAAAACAGTGTTGGCGGAAGGCTGGTGGCGGGCGGGCCAGGAGTGGATAAGGGGAGACCAAGACGATTACAATTAAGTGGAGTTTTACAGGGTCTACAATAACCCACTTGCAGAAAGTTAAGAAGCACAAAAGACTTTAAATGATTCTCGCTGACAGTCTCTTGCTCTAACATGCTGCTCAGAGGTTTATTTGATGCTTCTGGAAGCTTCTCATCTTCGGACATTTATCTGTAGAGATATAAAGCTTTCAAAATAAGTCCCCCAACCCATCCCTTGAACCTCTCACTGGTAACTTCTTCCACCAAAGTTGCATTCTTCTTAAACTCCATTTTCACTACTAGTGTCTGTAATGAAGAAATCTTATGTGGCTTGAGGTGACTGCTTTTTGGTGTCCTTCATGGAAACATATGCCATGTGACTATAAAACACCTACTTAAATAACTCCATACTAGATCGATGTGCAAGGTCAATTAATGTTACTATCGTTTGGCATGTGTACATAGGATAGGGTATGGTTCTGAACCGGTTAATGTCAAAATTAGTGACGAAATATTAGCCACAGAAACCTAAGCTAAATGTGCTTTCTGCCATTTGTCCGAACTCCATAGGAATAAGCTAATGTTTTGGAAATTCGGCATATCTGATGGTATGCTGCGCCGATACAGCTGTTGAATGGCTTCTGGTTGCTGTCACAGGGATCATCCTGGCCACAATCACGTAGTATCTTTAAATGATTGAATGTATCTCCAATGTGCTAAAGGTGTAACGATATATACTAACACTGAAGCACACGGGTAGTGCTTGGTTAGGTATCCAAGCTCCGCCCAGAAATCTGATGGAAGTTGAAGGTTGCTACGAAACTCATGGAGCCGCTTTCCAGTGTTCACTCATTATTGTTTGATGCTCACAAAACCTCCAGGAAAGTTCCATTTTCAGCAACTCTGTGCGGATGAAATATCTACTTTGGTGTCTAATGGCGTGTAACCACTTAGCTGGTGTTCGCACCTCAGCTCAAATTCGCGCCGAAGGGCGTTTCTTCTTACACAGGAGCTTGACTTCAGCTGGACAGCAGCTGAATGTACCATTTCAATTAAACAAGAAGTTATCCTGGGTTATTTTGGGACTGTTAACAATGAAACCATGCTAAAGCACGTATTTTTATAGGCGATACTGTAAAGCACTCGTCGCCGCAAACGCATTGAGCATAAGTTGTTGGTCTGTTTGCCGAGCTTGGCAGTTGGACTGAAAATGATTCAGCCTTAATTTATGAGACATGGTCAGTGCACGGACGACTCCATTTGCTCAAACCAGAGCTGGAAAGAACTGTATGCACCCTAGGTTGTCACAGAAAGATTATCATTTCGCGGGACTTATGAGTAAAATTCTGCTGAGGATTGTTTACAGGGATAAGTTTCCAAACCATTTGGGTGCCTTCACGGTGAGATTTTGGCTTTGCCAAATGATGAGGAAAACTTACATTCGTGTTCAAAAGGTGCACGCGGTACGGCGTGTTCTTCACAAGGCTCTGCCTCTGCTTGCGGTTGAGTTAACCCAGCCAGAGAAACATCGGGGAACGACTCGACTGCAACCGGCAACTTTATTGGATGCCTCTCAACGACCGCAGGCTCAATGGACTCTTCATGAACACCCGGAGTTGGCTCTGTCACTAAAATGAAAGTTTGAAAAAGGGTAAGTGTTGAATCTAACTTGATCTTATGATAATTCCCCCATTCATCTGCTTACCCCGCCTATGTACTTTTGTCCTCCGGTTGTTTTGCTTATTCGGACCCGCCACTCACCTTGCCACAGAGGCCGTCCTTTCTGACACTTGTACATTGACATGTGTGTCTGTGCGTAAATGTGCGCTGCTGACCTACTTATCCAAGTGCGTTCGTGTCTCGTTTGCTGGACCTGCCTTGACATGTTTTCACATGGGCTCCGCGTGATCGCACGTCCAATGAGAATCACGCGACCGTCGTCGGAAGGAACGACTACAACCCACGCTTCTGAGCCGTCATTCCGCTCGCCGTTGTTTGGTGTGCGGACGTTGACACTGCACTGTGCCGGTCAGTGACAGACTTGTGAACGTGTTGACGCCACGAACGTGAACAATTGAGGTTTGTTGTGCACACTTGCTTACCCTCGTGTGTACAGTACCGTAGAATTACGAACCCAATTCTTCCTTTTGATATTCGGGATTGTTGAACCTACGCGTCACTCAAAGTTCCCTATCGGGATACTTAACAGTACTCAATTCTGTTCGTGAGATTGGATTGACAACCCGATCTATTTGACACCGAGTCACAGTTGCGGTTCTACCATGGACCCGTTCCGGCATGATTCCTTCCTGGCTCTTGGCTTTTCTTACCACAATGATCTGAAGACTTCGGCTGTGCTTGCCGAATTACGGGAGAGCCTCGCTGAATTGGACGAGGAGGATGGGGACTTGCATCGGAAACGGCAATTCACTAGACAGAGACGTGGGGATAAATGGAAGTTCCTTGTGTCTCTTAACCCTTGGATGGATGATGCATTGGCTGCTTCCATTACCTCAGAAGAGGATGACAACCGACCAGACTACCGTTACACGGAGTGCGCTCCGGTAACTGAGGATGAAGAAGTCGCCTCACAAGAGGACAATCATCGGTCAGTCTGCGGTTCTTTGGGGTGCGCTCCAATATCAATGGACAGCAAACTTTCATCAAAAGACAACGGCGCTCATTCGCATTGCGGGTTTTTGGGGTGCGCTCCACTAACCATCTGTGAGCAGACCGTTCCACCCACCATGGGTGCAGGGTTCTATGTCGAGCCCGTATATCCGTCAGTGGAAGTGACACATATGGTTGCTATCCACTTCCAGACAGTTTCTACACAGTGCCTCAGGTTCGTGAAATTGCTAGCCTGGAAAAGGCGTTTCGAAACCTGGCTCAATGGCTTCTTAATTTGTGTGTGTGCCATACGACGTGACTTAGTTCGGACGGTCACTCGCGGAATACATCATACCAACCTTGAGCTCTGTCCAGCAATACCCACCTACAATGCAGTGTTTTATCAGTTTACGTATTGCTGTTTACCAAGTGAGTATATACTCAGAACTCAGCACACAGTAATCATACTACCTTCACGCATTTACTTACTCCAGACATTGTACTCAGCATGCCATGATAAGTGTTCCCCTTTACCATTATCCTGTTGCATAGTAATTCATGGAGGAATTTTGGTGGGGAGTGTTGAATCTAACTTGATCTTATGATAATTCCCCCATTCATCTGCTTACCCCGCCTATGTGCTTTTGTTCTCCGGTTGTTTTGCTTATTCGGACCCGCCACTCACCTTGCCACAGAGGCCGTCCTTTCTGACACTTGTACATTGACATGTGTGTCTGTGCGTAAATGTGCGCTGCTGACCTACTTATCCAAGTGCGTTCGTGTCTCGTTTGCTGGACCTGCCTTGACATGTTTTCACATGGGCTCCGCGTGATCGCACGTCCAATGAGAATCACGCGACCGTCGTCGGAAGGAACGACTACAACCCACGCTTCTGAGCCGTCATTCCGCTCGCCGTTGTTTGGTGTGCGGACGTTGACACTGCACTGTGCCGGTCAGTGACAGACTTGTGAACGTGTTGACGCCACGAACGTGAACAATTGAGGTTTGTTGTACACATTTACTTACCCTTTGCGTAATAGTACGTTAGAATTACGAACCCAATTCTTCCTTTTGATATTCGGGGTTGTTGAACCTACGCGTCACTCAAAGTTCCGTATCGGGATATTAACAGTAAAAAGTTCCGTATCGGGATACTTAACAGTAAGAGTCCAAACATTAGAAAGCAAAAAACAAAGCATAAAGGCCCGCAGCTGATCCATTTTGGTCCAGGAATACTAATTAACTGTCATAAAAACTAATGCATCCATTCCGGAAATATATTGGTTTGGACAGATTACTGTTTGTCTAATGTTGCCTGCAATCAGGTTAAGATGGGCAATAAGACGTCTTCTTCTGAAATTGCTAGTCAAATCCAATGGATCCACTCTGTACATGGACAAGCTTCTCCGGTTAGCCCGTGGCGTTCAGACAAGAAGACGGCTCTGCCACAGGAATTCTCCAAACTGATAGTTTTCTAGTAAACTTTGGCCGGTACTTCAAAGGGAGAGTTTCTTTAACCACATTTGGTTTTATCCAACTATAATAGAATAGTGTACACATTATATATTGTAGGCGGGAACAGAAATTATCCTTCGTCTTTCCTGTGCCTCAGCCAATACTTTTTTGCACACCAAATTGCTTATGTCAGTCATGTACACAAGCACAAGAAGACCGTTAGATTGGTTGGTTTATTACAGCTTTTCAAAGTACTGCTCTAATGTTTTTTCAACAAGGCTGTAATTAGACCCAGTGACCATACACTCTTTTTGGGGACGTCAATTTAACCCATGTGCTTCCTGAACTCCAACTTCCAGGTTGTTTGCGTGACCGTATCCTGTGTTTACTGAAAGCTTCCAATTTGGACGTAAACAGAGCAACCTAGATAAGTGGATCGAAAATGCCGTGAGTGGAGAGCCGATACTAGTAATTCAATATCCCTGATGTCGTGTCACAGTATCAAACGCAATAAAATCAAGTAGTCCAATCCTCCATGGCAAAAATTCATTGGGTATTTATTTGTGATAGTTTGTTGAACACTGTGATATCTTCATACCACTGTGCCGATCTGAAGCCATACTTCAAAAGCCCTGAATTCATTTACCCAGAATCTCAGAATTTAGCAGCCTTGTGATTTGAGTGAAGATGTCATTACCTCGTGCGAATTCGAAGAATCGAATAGGGTGGTATTGGTCTGCAAGTTGCTTAACGAACTTACAATCGTGTACGGTAAACCAATCGGTCAATTCGGTGAGCGGTATGTGTGTGCAGAAGCCCTGATTATCAAAAGGTTAGACACCCTCGTGGACTAAACAACCATGTGAGGTCCATGCTACGGCTATCGTGCCAAAAACGGAGTATTTTAACTGATGAACTTTTGACGTTATTAGAAAGTCGAATTATGGTTACCAAGTATTAAAAAGCACATTATCAGCAGAGCTCAAATAATCCTGCTATTGAAACCTCTCGGTTTACAGATTCATAACCATAACTGTTTTCTCTAGCCTTTTTCGAGACTCGCTTGTCGATTCCCTATCGGCATTTGGTTGTGGTGTGTTACCTCTACCCTTTTACATCGCATATTTCCATTAACAGTCAGAATTCAGTCAGGGGCTGTCGACTTTGGGCAACGCAAGTTGATGGGGGTTAGGGATCCAATATAAAAGAGACGGGTTTCGACGAATCAATAGCGGTGAATTGAATCTAATTACAGAAAGCTGAAGTCCAATGACGCTGTATTTCAGGCTGTTGCGTGATCATCATCAGAGACAACTATGTCAGTGTTGACACTGATGATTCACTGCCATAGGTTGTATCACACAACCTTGCAGCTACTGATTTTCTATTTTGTTACTTAAACTATGAGTGCGTTCTGCGTGAAAGCGACGAATAAGACGTGTGAGAAAAGATCTTATGTGACAGGTTTTCCGTTTGAAGTGTGGATCTGTGATAAAGCTAAATTCAGTGGAGCAAACGGTTACGCAACAAGCGTAAATGGTGTTTTTGCTTCTGCAATAGTTTCCATCAAAGGCAAGGTTAAATCCCCCTCCACGGTCCCTGGGCTGTTCGCAGAGCTGGGCAGCACATCGGCGGCCTTCTATATAATCTGAGCGGTTAACACCCTTTTCAGTGTTTCTTCATTGCTAATTCATGTGTTCTGTTTAGCATACGCCAGTGGTATAATAGAAACATCCATCCTAGTAAAGGTCATTACTAATTGCTGCACAATGCGGATGAATCAGAGTTTGGCTTTTCAATACAAAGAAGTAGTGCATGAAGCTTACCACCCGCTGGTTGCACCTCCTCCTCTGCGATCGACTGAGCGAGCTCTTGTGCAGCCGCCACAAGTGCGGTTGTATCGCCTGGGAGTGGTCGGGCTTCATCAATTGCAGTTCTTCGTGTTTCAGTAACAATTTCTTCCACAGCGGGTTCTTCAGTGACTGGTAAACCCTCCGACGGTTTTTCGGCTGGGATCCTTGGAAGCTCTACCTTCTCTTCCCGTTTTAGTGTGACTTGTTCGACTTGTTTCGTTTCCACGGTTGGTAATGATACAATTGGAAGAACGGATGAGTTCGGAATGAGACACCAAATCAGACCACAATCGAATCACATTCGAATACATAAGTTTATTTCATTCCGATGCTTACGCCTACACACAACCGTCCTCCAGCATAAAGAGTAAAGTTCACTCATTTTGGAGGTTTTCTGGAATCTAGAGAAGCCAATTCCTGGTAGGGTAGACATTTTAGAGCAACCGTTTTCTCACCAAGTGCTTTCTCATGCTGTTGTTAACGGTGTAAGACTGGTTCGACCCGTTGCTGTGAGAGAAGAAATGTGACTATTTGCATTCCCTCCCTCAAGCATCAGTTCCCAGACGGTCTAATTCAAATGAGATGGAATCGCGCGCAATGCCACAGATGCATATTATCCCACCAACAGCCCATTTTTGACCCTGTAAAACTTTCTTATGTGCTTTTTGAACCATTACTGGCTTGAACAAAACACATGAAATCCTGCGCGTCAAATGTAATCCCTAAGTGGGATCCTCGGGTGCGCTGGCTTGAGGTGTGAACTGATAAGTCTCCTGTGTCAAGCAACGAAGCAGTTCTAAACTGTGAGGCTTGTGGGGGAGGATCGAACGATCTTGGGTGCAAATTCTGAATTTCAGTCCCTTGCTCAATCAGTTCCCTTCATGACCCGCCAAGTTTGGCCTTTTTACCGAAAGCCACAACAAATGAACTCATAGTTGACTCTTATTGAGGTTAACCAGCAGCGCACATCCTTGGTTCTGTCCGGACTAGAACCCCAGAAATTTAACAGTGAAAGGTCCTGCCACCACCACAAAATGTACTTTATGTATTCGAGGACACAGTCATGTTGGACACAAACACCAGTTGGCCGTTCGATTTATCGAGCCAATCATCCACTTCGCCTGTTAGACTACTAAACATGATATAGGACCCATCCGGTGTTTGCTGGTGGAAAGGTGACAAAAAGCTCGTCTGGAGGGTCAGGTATCCGAGGTTAAATTCCAGGAAGAACCATGGATACGCCCTTATGCGCAGCTCCAGTGGTGGAGAAGCAGATACTATCATCTCTTTTCTTTGGTGTGGACTAACTGGAACATGTTGTAGCAAATGAGGGGTTTTCGTAGAGCTATGTACTTGGTCACATAAAATAATTAAGTGAAACTCAGTCCGATCAATCATTCAAAACCACTATCGTAAGGCTAGTTTCCCTTGAAATAAGTTGTGGGTATTGCGATACGACTGATGTCTACCGGGGTAACTTTTGGCGTCAGTTCACANTATTTACGGGTCAATTCCTGCTGGGACTTCCATCTCCAGTGTGAGTTTGAAGCGGAAAAAAATAGCAACCCATAGTGTCAGTAGGACCCTGACAGGAATTTGGAACAAAATACTTTATAACTAAATTTCAGAAAGCACGATAAGTATCGTGTTCGGCTTGAAAGTTGAGTTCACCGTGCTTGGCGATTATTTTTTGCTATTCAAGTATACTACAGAATATACTGCTGAGTAATGTTTATTAGGATATACTGCATTGTAGTTAACAAAGTTGGGGCGCACAAAATGCTGCTTCCAAACGTTTTTTGCGTGTCCACCTGGACGATGTTGAAACATCCGTCGCCTAATCTAACAGGCCAAGATTTTATGACCACTTTAGACAGTTTCATTGTTGCAAATCCTGTTTTATGTTGTGGATTCGGTCAATTTCCATGAGAACTGATTTATTACAGACTACTACTCAAGTACTGTAAACGATGTAAGTGGAAAATATTAATCGCGTTTCATACATTGTGTTCAGGCTTGGAGGTGCCCAGAAAATGCATCGGTAAACCAAAATTGTTCGGCAGTGAAGCATCGGTTTTGAATACTGATGTCATGCTGTCCACGGTGATGATGATGATTTTCCCAAATTAAATGAATCTACGACTCAAATGGTATACATATAGGTAAGCCAAGCTGAATAGAGCCAACTGGACCATCAGGATAGTTTAATGAACCGAACAGTCTACCTACTTGTTCGTATGACCTATTGACCTTACTTAAAGAACGCTCTAATGTGCGTGAGCGGGAGAACAAAATGCTGCCAAAAAGTTTCCTTTGTTGGTGTTTTTGTTCGCTCTCCACAAATCACATGGGCATAGTAGCTGGCCCGAGACAATGTCTGGCTAATCCTTTTGCAGTACACGGGAGCTGAGGACTAACCTTTGGTTGGCGGTGCTTCGTCGTGTTTCGGTACTCGTCCTGAGTCGGCTGCCTCAACTTCCGCTGCGAATATTTGTGGTGGTCTGGTTTCTGCTGTTAGGATAGCTTGTGGTTGAATGAGTGGTGCTTCCGGTACAAGAGATGCAGGAATCCTTGGTTGGCTTGGTTCGATCGGTTGTGCGCTTGCTTCTGCAATCGGTATCTCAGCCTCAATGACTGCAATAAAGAATCAGTATAAAGTGTAAAACATAGGTTCTGACGGGAGAATAACTTGAAAAATCGGTAGGTTTTGGTCGATACTCACCTGGTACAGGAGGAACAGTGTCTTCAGTTGCCGCCCTTGCCATTTCAGTGACACTGCGAGGTGCTGTGTCTTCATCAACACGAGGCTGCGTAATCACTTCTGGAAGTCGAGTGATTTCAATCTTCTGGGGTTGTTCATCGTACATCAACGGGGCAGCAGGGACACCTACCACATTTTCGGGCAAATACTCGTAAGGGGGTTGTTCGGATGGGGACACAATCGGCTGACTTGGGAATAATTCCGTCGAAAAAAGTGCTACACGATAAATGCAAGCAAAATTTCGACAAGAGTTGGAGAAACAATCCTGTTTTACCGAGCATTACGCTAACGAATTGAAATCATAGGTGAGCCACCCAAAAGAAGTTTGTTCTTCTCAGGTAGTTATAATTTGCTGCAACCAACAAGTATACCACTATGTGAAATTCGACTCGCGATCGCATTTTTTAGGCTCTTGCTGACGATAGACGAGCCCTAGACAGTTCGTGCCTTATCTGCTCTTGAATCTTGTGGTCGTCGAAAAGGCCAATGCTACCAAAGCACACATGGAGACGATCATTGGAGAGTCAACAATAAATGTACGGAAACTGGTTGAAGCAAGTCAGGATGCTGTAATCAGTCTTTCCAGGTAGTTGACAAGCAATGGCGTTCACGAAAATGATGGCATACATTCACCATCTCGTTCGGATAGAAAGAAGACAAGTTCGGCGTTGGGGCTCATAAAACCCTCATTGGATTCTTCTAAACATCGGTTAATGCAGAGTGCACTGGTGAAAGGAAGAAGGCCTTCGCTGCGGATTTATTTATTGGGAAATGCCAACTGACCAGTTAGAGATTATTGGACAGGGAAGCAAAACTCTCATATGCATCTTAATTACAAAACTGAACATCCATCTTCTCTTGAACATGTATTCCTAAACTTTCCTGGATATTCATTGAGTGTTGCTCAAGTTCAAGCAAATGCTACAAAGCGACTCCACAAATTCAAGAGACGTAAAGCGGATTTACGAGAAGACATACTACTCGCATGCCCTTCCATCAGTAGTATCACCTTTACACTGGTAAACGTATTTGCACTGTCATCCTTAATTCTTATTAGATTTCACATCTATATTATAGCTTGATTGTTCCTGAGTCGACTGCCTCAACTTCCGCTGCGAATATTTGTGGTGGTCTGGTTTCTGCTGTTAGGATAGCTTGTGGTTGAATGAGTGGTGCTTCCGGTACAAGAGATGCAGGAATCCTTGGTTGGCTTGGTTCGATCGGTTGTGCGCTTGCTTCTGCAATCGGTATCTCAGCCTCAATGACTGCAATAAAGAATCAGTATAAAGTGTAAAACATAGGTTCTGACGGGAGAATAACTTGAAAAATCGGTAGGTTTTGGTCGATACTCACCTGGTACAGGAGGAACAGTGTCTTCAGTTGCCGCCCTTGCCATTTCAGTGACACTGCGAGGTGCTGTGTCTTCATCAACACGAGGCTGCGTAATCACTTCTGGAAGTCGAGTGATTTCAATCTTCTGGGGTTGTTCATCGTACATCAACGGGGCAGCAGGGACAACTACCACATTTTCGGGCAAATACTCGTAAGGGGGTTGTTCGGATGGGGACACAATCGGCTGACTTGGGAATAATTCCGTCGAAAAAAGTGCTACACGATAAATGCAAGCAAAATTTCGACAAGAGTTGGAGAAACAATCCTGTTTTACCGAGCATTACGCTAACGAATTGAAATCATAGGTGAGCCACCCAAAAGAAGTTTGTTCTTCTCAGGTAGTTATAATTTGCTGCAACCAACAAGTATACCACTATGTGAAATTCGACTCGCGATCGCATTTTTTAGGCTCTTGCTGACGATAGACGAGCCCTAGACAGTTCGTGCCTTATCTGCTCTTGAATCTTGTGGTCGTCGAAAAGGCCAATGCTACCAAAGCACACATGGAGACGATCATTGGAGAGTCAACAATAAATGTACGGAAACTGGTTGAAGCAAGTCAGGATGCTGTAATCAGTCTTTCCAGGTAGTTGACAAGCAATGGCGTTCACGAAAATGATGGCATACATTCACCATCTCGTTCGGATAGAAAGAAGACAAGTTCGGCGTTGGGGCTCATAAAACCCTCATTGGATTCTTCTAAACATCGGTTAATGCAGAGTGCACTGGTGAAAGGAAGAAGGCCTTCGCTGCGGATTTATTTATTGGGAAATGCCAACTGACCAGTTAGAGATTATTGGACAGGGAAGAAAACTCTCATAATGCATCTTAATTACAAAACTGAACATCCATCTTCTCTTGAACATGTATTCCTAAACTTTCCTGGATATTCATTGAGTGTTGCTCAAGTTCAAGCAAATGCTACAAAGCGACTCCACAAATTCAAGAGACGTAAAGCGGATTTACGAGAAGACATACTACTCGCATGCCCTTCCATCAGTAGTATCACCTTTACACTGGTAAACGTATTTGCACTGTCATCCTTAATTCTTATTAGATTTCACATCTATATTATAGCTTGATTGTTGCGTTAGTACACCATTGCTACTGCTCACAAACGGGACACACGCGATTTTAGCTTGACCGACGCACAGTACCCTCTTCGATAAACACTAACCCTAACTATTCGGAGCATTGGGTAAACTAGTTATGAATGAGAAAAAGCTTAGTTTTCCTTTTTGTTAACTGGGTCCATAGTGCTGCTGTAGCAGCTAAGACCAGAAAAACAGTCAACGCAACTGCTGTAGTGTCTTCATAAGGTTGCTATGGTTACATGGTTTTCCGAATAGCTAAAAAGAGACGAAGATCGCCACCGTGATAACCGCATTGAGTTAACTGCCAGACTCAAAACATATTTTCGGGATTGCCAAAAGGTCTTCTCTATCAGAATGTCGTAGGGTCGCAATTTTCAACCGCCTCATCCAACGCTCTGCCGTGGAGGTTTACAACAGAACTGTGGGTGCTGTGTCAAATGTCTGGCACGCCTTGAAACTTTCAAGTGAAATACGGTAACTCTGTTCATCGCTCCTTGCCGTTTAGTTCAGACAGTATCTGGTGCCAGACAAATCAATATGAAAATGTTGATAATATGCAACAAAACATGGTTATTTTGAGCGCGATATTTACTGTGCCAAATTTTCCTTCATTATCTTCATTCCGTACCGCAGTTTTGACATGCTGTTGCTTGTAGTGTTTTGTGTGTTCTTGGCTGGATTGCGGATCGCTCCAAGTTAAGTTAAATAGAAAAGAACTAACTGGTGTGGTGACAATGTGGCGGGAGTGCCCGTCAAGTCATCCGCTGACTAAGTCATGCGTCGACTACTAACTGCGTGTCACTAGCACCAGATGATTCGAATAAATTCTTCTCTTGAAGCATCGGTGTTGAACACTGATGTCATGCTGTCGATGGTGATGATTCTCTTGTAGCGTGTCATCCATTCTGAGGTCCAGATTTAGTTACGGATTTTGTTCTGGGAGTCCGATTGTAATGAGAATATCCTCGGTAGCACCATACTTGACTACGTAGAGGCAGGTTACTTCTTGGCAGGTTTCAAGTTCCTGTTTGAGCAGAAAATATATGTGATGGGTCTTGAGGAAGAAGCTGTAAGTTACTTTTGAAATTTGTGCCATTTTCTATCTGACATGAAGAGCATTGCAACAGGAGTAGGAGATCTGGTGGAAGCTGGTCAAGTCCACACGTGCTGAGGAAACAGTGTGTTTGTGGTCTCTCGGGTACTCTTGTCCTCTTCTACGGGTACGAAAATACGTACAGATTTTTCTCATTTGTGGTGATTTGGAGGAGAAAAGCCACCGTTACTTAACCCGTTGCCAAAAGAGAATGTTTGAGAATAGGGAAGAAACATTCTTACTGAAGGAATCCACGGGAAAATGAACAACCTTGATTAAAACGAAGCAGTGCACATTTGCGTCATGGGTGACATTTGGAAAAGTTGGTAAAAACGTCATGCTCAAGACAAAAAACAGAGCTGTACTTCAACCAGTAAAGAGACTGAAAGCCATTGGACTATGCTTACCTTCTGTCTTGATCGGAGACATCGATGGTACAGAAGCCGAAATACTCGAAATTCCCTTGTCAGTAGAGATTGTGGAATCATCCATTGGTCCGGCGAACATTGAGCTTTCTGCGAATAGGATTACATAAATAAAGGCTTTGCAGACTGCAGAAATATGTCAGGCAATCTAAAGACTTGAAGGTCTCTTAGAGTTAATTGGTAAAAAAATGGGAAACTCAGATAGTTCGGATAAGGTTAGACCACGGATCTTTGGTTCAGAATATCTACCTATTCATGAGCAGTGATACGTGTTCCATTGGTCGACGAAATAAATAGTTACCGTCAAGTGTATATTTCCTGATTTACTCAAAAATGAAACTGAAGAAAACTCCGTCGACATAAACCGTTAAGAGCCGTAAATGATATAAATAATATTAGAATAGAAGATTGTGGCTGAAACCATTTTGCCACTCATCAGACCAAGGGCATGTGAAAACTGGTAATGTAGAGCGAATATACCTGGTGTCGCCTGTGGCACCATCTCCACGGTTGTGGGAGGTTTCGGCGCTTCCTCGACAAGCTTCGGAAGTGGTTTCTTCTTGTCCAACACAGCGGTTGCCCTAGCCTGTTCGTCTGGAGAAACCACCGGGCGAATGGCGATCATGCTGGGATGAATGACGTCGGAACGGTTTATGGCGATCAAAGCATCTGCCAATTGGTTTCCTGGGAGAGAAAACACGAACGTTTATGCTTAGTCTTTCAGTACCGGCTATAGAGTTCTCTAGTTCAAATTGACGTATCAGTAACCCTTCCAGAATGCAGTCTATTTGGTTAATTATTGGGTCAGAGTGAATTTATGCTAATGGTGTAATAATTACGCGCGATTTCCACTGCACTGAAGCGGGATATCATAAGCATTGGTGTTAGGTGACTTTACTTGTGGTCCTATCTGGTGGCTGGTTTGCGTCAGCTTTAAGCTGGCTAGACCAAATCTCCACTGGCTGGCCACAGGAGCTCATATCATTAATGTGTTCACACAACCCTTTGAATGACGGTGAACAAAATTTTCTACTCTAGGGGTGCGGGGTGAATAGGCTTTTACATGATACAGCAGTTCCCAGGATTTGATTATCTTTTCTTTGACCTTTGCGTTAGTTCACACACAGAACTGCAGCAGTAAGCGTAAATCCATTTTTCGTTAAATTAATAAACTAACAGCTTTGAGAAGCCATTGACTAGTCCTGTGAATTTGGTGACCACCTTTGTGGACGACAGTCCTTCAGTCGGCTTCATCAAGCATACTGATCGGCCATAAGCAGTCTGACGGCGGAGGTTATAATTTTGAATGTTACTTATGCACCGAGACTTTTCACAACGACTGTATTTAGAAGCTGGTAAACATGATCTCCAAGTGAGAGCTTCAAGCCCTTGTTCTCAAAGACCGCAATGTTAACGTAGATTATTGGTTTAGGCCATATGAAGCATCTCCGCCTCCTCATGATTCTACGGGAGGATATGAATAAAAATCGTGATGTGATCCATGGGTAGCAGTTGCGGGTTGGTTGTTCCCCTTTCGAGACCATGTGTGTGACATGGGCGTCCCGCCTTTTCTGAACCTTTGTAATCACTTTCGTTGAAACATAGAGACTGAGAATGTGTCGCTTGAGCCACGCAGTTAGGCTATTTTCACTAGAGATCGTGCTATTACCAACTCAGAAACTAGCGTAATCGATTAGTTTTCGTGTGTTTATGTGCGCGACTTTTGCTGACCGTCTGGTAATATTCCTTTTGGAAGATTTTCAGCTGTTTATCACAAGTTGATCTTCGTTTTTTTCAGCACCATAGTAGGTAAGTTGGACGATAACATATGAAACAGAAGAATAAGATGTACTCCGATAAATCCACTGGAAATGGATCCTTCTGGTGGTTGAGGTATAAATCAACTCTGCAGCCCCATAGGCTTGATTCAAAGATGAGTCAAGTTTTAGCGCATATTCGTCATTAAGTAGTCAGCGTTGAAGGGTATGCATACAGACCACATGTTTTGGAACTGCCTAATTCCGTCAAACGGTATAACTAGCTTCATTACCTAAAGTGGTAAGTCTTACAGTACATTTGTACAACCAGAGAGTTTTTCAAAATACCTTTACCTTCGCCAGTCAGCCTGCAGTGTGTGCGTTTCTAACTATGCCGAAGGATGTTCTTTTTATAAGTCGAGTTGTAAAGCACGTAAAAGGACACTGTTTTGTGGATAGCCACATCAATGTGCCGAGCTGTAAAAGCACTTAGGAAGGCCAAATCGTTATAAGATTCCCGTTTATGATCTATCGCGACGTTTGAATGGGTAGTGTTGATGAGATCTAAACAGAAACTATGGTTTTATTAGAGGTAAATACCAGAACAATATCCACAATAATTTCTTTCAAAGAAAAACAATCAGTTGACCGTAAGCAAAAAGCTAGCTCTACGAATGGATAGATCGGAGAGCCTAGCTGGGTTATTGATCAGGTAAAGTTCTATAACTAACCAAATGTCTCAATTGTATCAACAACAGAAGACGTCCTTGCGGAAATGTTGTCCAATGCGGTTGTCTAGCCTTCTTGGCTCTCTCTTCGGAGAGAGTCAGTTGTTGAACTAGTTTATGGTAAAGTCAATTCGTCATATTCACCAGCGGTCTTAAGAAGATACACCGACTGCGGATTTTTTTGAGAACATCTTAAGTCTTGCTTCCGTGTTCTGTTAATTTATGGGTACTGTGTTTCTGTGGAAAGTAGTAGTTGGAAGCCTTTGGAAGTTTGCTTCCACGATGAGACTTGGATGTTCAATCACTGTGTCCCTTTTGTGCCTCATCCATCATAGAGTATAATTTTATCTTCAGATACGTAAACCTCATTGTTTTGATTACATTAGGGAAACCTGAATCTTATTCCATGAACACAAATTTCAACATCGGTTCTGTCGAATTATGGAGAACAAAATGTTTCTAGCTGCCTTTGTTTTTAGCTTTTCAGCGTCACCACTGCCAGTAGCTCCTGGATCTTTGATATGATGGGACGACTCTTCATAATTTTCAGCCGGGGAGATTTGGAGTTAAAGTTTCAGAGAAATCATTTACAATGTAATAGGGTGAACTGAGTTGAAGTGAGATATGCCCATGCTTTTACAGCTCACAACCATAGTTCAAAACTCCGGGCGACCTACACAAAGACCATTGCAGATCTACACATTTCTACCGATCATTTTAGCAGTTAATATCAATAATCTCTCCAACTTGACAGCTCACACAGGAGAGTATGTAGTAAGGTTGAACGTAAAACGCAGTTGATATTCAAAGTATCATTTCAATCGTTCATGCATATCCTCGACATACAAGCTCTAGGTTCTTGTGAATGTGAAACGGACGAAAATACAAAAACGAGCGTATAATAAAAAAAACTGATTAGCGGGCGCGTGTAGGGCAGTGTTACTTATGAGGTAGATAAGGGCTTCAAATTGCTACTTGTGCGTGCAAAAATGACCTATTGGTTTTGATCAGGACCTTTGCGCTGTTCGAGAAAAGTCTTGTGCTTAATTTGTGCACAGTAAACATCTTTATTCTAGGCTTCAGGGAAATGGTACCAGAAAACAAATAGTGTCACCGTTAGATTCAAAGCTCCAGGCTGAGGTGTTCTACCATGTAATTTTGGGACTAAATGAGTAGGTTTTATGAAGAAGTATGGGTAACTTAGTTTAGAAGTGACGCGGAGAAATTTGATCATTCTACGCCTTTCTTTAGGTGTTAAACTGCACTATCTTATTGTCTTAACTTAGTTCTTCATGATGACAACACTAATTAGCTTGGGTATACTTCACATTCATATCTACATAACTCACCCAAAGGTTTTTCTTCCGACGCACCGTTGGTGGCGAATTTTTGCTGCCACATTTTCAGCAAGATTTCGGCCTTTTCTTGTTCAGACACATGACTGGACGGTGGCGAGGAACTTGGCGTACGTATTATAGACTCGACTTCTTCTTCTGAGAAACCCAAAGCCGAGGCCAATTTCTGCCAGTCAGATCCCAATTGTCGGGCTATCATGGACCGATTGAGTTCCGATCGACCGATAATTTCGGAATCTGTGGGCATAATTGCGAAGCAAATAATGTGACTTATCTGGAAAAATTATAGTCTTTGATTGGAAAGAATGGTGCATTTGTGAAACGACGCTTGATCGAGACTTTATCCGGCTAGGTGCGAAGATTAAGTTAAAATCCCCAGACAACGCTAGTGAATACTTGAAGTCTGTATCACATCATGATGATGTTGAATTCTGCAAAGCTCGGCCATGTGAGGTTTTCGTTCTTGATGAAACTTATCAAGTTGGCAGGAAAGGTCGGATACTGTAATCCCATCTTTGTGGCTTCAGTTTTGTAAGGCCCTCGACCGGTTTGCGACTTGACGAACCTGTTTTCAACGCGATTATTGCTCTGTTGGCCTCAAAGCAATGTTTTTTGATATTTGCACTTGTCTGACCAGTTGGTGTTTACATCAATAAGAGAGAAGCTCGGTTCGAGCGCTTGTCAGGTCGACATAAGCTAACCGGAATAGTAGTCTCGCGAGATTAATAGAATTTTTGAAGAGAAATCTATGACAGTACGAGTGGTTATGTCGTTACGCTTGTGTACGAACTAACTCTTGAGGAAGACATGCGTTGGGCAACCTGAAATGGGGCATCTGCTTTTTCCGCCCCGATGGGCTACAGAAAGTACGAAAGGCCTCGTATTGCCTGGTTTATTAACCATCCTTTGCCATACATCCGATGGGATAGTAAATCCACGGCGTGATGGACAACCAGTTCGATGAAACGGTATTACTGAGTGCCAGTAAGCAGGCCAAATAGTGAACACAATTAGGGCTGCCTTGTTACCCATTATTTTGGAGAAGGATATTCTTTTCTACTTGACTTTCGAAACCAATTTTAAGCTTGTGCTACCTCGTTCAAATATTAAAGTAAACGCAGACTAGTGCGAATATTTCAGCTTGATATCTCGCTTTCCAATTTCAGTGCCCTACTGCAAATTCCTTTACGGAGGCGTCAGTCGATCCATCAATGCTGACATGTTGCAGGCAGTTAGGTGTAATATGAGCAATAAGTGATTATTTCTTATAATCAGCAGCGTACCTAGTGCAGTTGGGGGGAGAGCAGATCTCTACACGGGCCGGGGGTTTTAGGTTGTGGTCATGTGAATAGCGCGGCAAAACATCACTTCATGAGTTGACAAGAATGTGTAAAGTTGTACAGACGGGCTCGTCGGAATGCGCCACATGAGCGCCGTTTTCTTGGACCCCAAGTTTCTCTTTTTGTATCGCAAAGATCCCCTCGTTGGACGTGTCATAACTTGGGTTAAACTAAACAACTTGAGCGCCGCAATATTGCCTAAACCGTGATGAACATTTTTTTTCAGTAGGATAGCGTGATTGAGAAGGCATGTCTACCAGTTTTACCCAAATGTTGCCTTGAAATGTCACGACTAGACTGTTCACTACAGGCGTTTCAATGCAAGGTGAAGAGTAGAGTATCAACTTAGTCTAGATAATTTCTGATCTTCAGAAATGCCTAGTTTACAACCCTTGAAACATATTTTCTGGCGGCAAACGACCACTAAAAGCAAGCTTAGAAATCCATTGTTGAGTAAAGTATTGCATGAAAATAGACTAGAGTATGAAAATAAAAGCTGGTTGCAGTCGACGATGCTGCCACAGAGTAATCCAGCATTGGGACTTTCAATTATCACAACTACTAATAAGTCACAAGTAACAAGTATCGACTAACAAGTGCTAAGTCAAGCAGAACTGTGAAAGCACATGATTCGAAGGGCCAGCCAACAGATAGATATATTTTGAGTGTGCACTACTGGGGATGATTGATAGTATACACCGCAAAAGTGCAAATTAACCAGATCGCTGGTAGCCTCCCATTGTTCAAAGTGAACTCTCTATCGATTTCAGACCATTCAGATTTGAATGATTCGTGATTTCATGTAGGTTGGAACAGCCAGATGGTTCTCTTCTAACCTTCAGATGTGCATGATAAATTTCAAGAGTTCCAAATCCAGAATCAGTATGTCTGTTGATAGAGATTGGAACTTGTATCAAATGGAGCCCTTTGCCTTGGGTGACTGAGTTCAGTACATGCTACTGGGAGCCCTGGAGTAGCCGGTATTCTGTAAAACGTGGCTAAATAATCCAATTAAAACGACCTTTCCAATAAAAGAGCAAAATGAATGAGAAACCATATCACGGCGCAAGGGTGTATATATGTCTATTACTAACGAGTGTAAAAAAACAACAAAAGGAGGATTACTCCGGAAGAAGAACCCACGGAAAACAAATATAGGGTATGAGGAGAAATGGCCTGATGCATACTGGTTCCCCTTAAATCAACGCTAATGCTTATGCCGGCAGAGCACCACTTTTATACCCTTCGGTAACACTTTTTTACTGAAATTCTGTGTGTCGTCGTAGGGATAACAGTTTCTTTAACCAATGGCAAGCCGGAGTTATGCTGTCTGTTCAAGTTTTTACTGTAATCAGTACGGATAAGATGTGGTGTGCAACATTTAAAGTTGTCCATTCTTGTGTATCTTAAAAGACTCGGCCATTTTGAGGATATGTTTTCAAATCGCTTTGCAAATCAAACTGTGGATGAATAGAACGGCATATTACAGCGAATGTCTGTGCATAGACTGTTATCAGTGTAAACCAATGAATACGAACGGAAAATATAACGCAGCCTTTTCTAATCAAGAAGTAGGGAGATATGGCAAATAAGCTATGCAAATATGCACCTGCAGTGGCAACCAGAATGGATTCTCCTGGTCTTGGAAGACGTAGATCAAGCGTTGTGACCGGTTGTTGTGGTAGTTGAACATCATCTACCGGAGGTTTGGTGTGACGCGGGTCGCGCAAGAACGCAATTTTCCCCGTTATCAGGTTGGCTTCAGGCTCGGCAAATCCAGAGTCCCGGACGCGAACAGGAAATGTGACACGGTTTTCATGGAATGGCCGAACAAGCAAACTTGGTTGAGAGTCTGCTTTAGTAACCGACGCCAAATTCCCAGTCAGTTCAATCCAGTAAACAGTATCTTCAAGCACCTGCAACCATATAGCAAAACGTTTGTGTATTGAGGCCTACGGATCCAAACTGTGTATCGGAAGTATTAACGTAGAGGAGACTAGCATGAAATCATGTTTATTTCCTCACCCCAATGAAGCCAAGAAAATCAGAAGCATCATGTAATAGGCAATTAACGGAAGAAATGTGGCGGGATTCAGCATTCACCAGAAGTCTGTATGTATAATTTCCTAAGAGTCTTCAATGGGATGCATAATAATGACTTCCGCTTCACGAAGACATGCAGATGGCAACGTGCATGTAACTGGCATGAGCATATAATTAAAAGTATCCTGAAGAAGCATCTGATATGAAACCAGTTACTCACCTCTGTTGGTGTTCCAACTGCAATGAGAGCAAAGCGTTCAAGGCATTCCAAAGTCTTATCCTCCTGGTCGTCTGTTAGACACAAGCAGCGTAATTGGGCCAGTTCAGCACTTGGGCGGTGTAACCCACGCAACTGACCAGGTGACTGTCGTGCGCTAGTGGGGCTTTCCCCGTTCATATCCAAATTCATCGGCTGTCTAACGAATACGGCAAAGCGGCCAATCACAGGAGGCACAATGCTCTCACGGTAGATGCGACTGCCAATATCCACTGCTGAGGCCTGTTCAGGACAGTTGATTAGCCACAGTCTGTCGGATAGGGTGGGGGCAGTGAATTAAAAAGCTAGTTGCGTGCATAGTTTATAAGTCTGATTTCGAATGTATAAATATCCTCCCGCTGGATACAGTGCGCATATCTAAGCCGTAAGCGGTTAGAGCAGGCATTGCTGAGGTTCCTCTAGAGCAATTACCACATGAGTATAAGCTAGAACGGTTATTGTAGGTTTTGAACAGAGATATCACTGTCTTGCATTTCCATAGAGGAAAATGTTGGTGGATCAGGTAGCGTAGATGGTTGTTGGTTTGTTCACTGAGCTGGACAGTTTGACTGCTGGCTAGTAAGAAGAGTGATCGGTCGTCTTTACGTACGATATCGCCGTGAACCTTCCTGACAGGGTGATCGGGAGTCCAACATATCCTTAAAATGAGTAAAGAATGAAGAGGTTTAAACTATAGCATGTTCAACTATTGGACCTAAAAGTTGACAAACATTTCTGCAGCATGCCTTTCCACCACTTTAGGCAGTGGGTGTAAAATAGCAGCCAAAATCTACTTGTCCGCCCCTTCAAACCTATGGGAATGATGGTCGTAGAAAATCAGAATGTCACAGTAAAATTGTCTGGCCACAAAAATGGAAGACCTGTTTGCGAAAATATTCTGGGGGCATTCTCGAGGACTTGCGGTACAACCCAGTCACATTAACTAGCCGAAGCCACAAGCCTGCTTAGAGAATGATGTCTGTGAGCGAGTTAAAAGTACTCTTGATGAAAAAGTAATCCAGATAGTTGATAGAAACATCATTTGGCCCCAGAAAGCTCAGCGATTTCGCCAGTTTATTCACAAAATTACTTCAAGTATTGGTTCTCTAACTGTCGGAGGTTTCCAGAAAGATGTGCAATTGAGTTTTTTGCTTGAATTAAGTAAACGACTTTTAGTGGGAAGGTTAGCACTATGACTGTTTTGATCAGTTTCATAATCTGGAAGCGGATCTCACCGAACTTCCACCCAAGAAGCCATCATTCAAGAAGTCACTCAAAACGTGACCACGTGATGTGGGTTCCGTGACTGAAGAGTGAGTGGCGTCGTACCTTGTCTAATTGCGAGCTAATCACAGTGCTGACCAGCCGCTCTTGGCCGAACAGTAGTGTCTAAAATATGCGCCGGAAGGTCGCATGTATTACACTCCCTACTGGCGTTTCGTTAGATGCACCCTGATGATTTCGAATAAGGACAAAGCAGCTGTTGTAGTAGCTTGCCAAATCTGTTCGGGAGTTTGCACGCCTGCGTGTCCGTTCGTCAATGTCTCAGAGGACCAGTGTAATGCTTGAGCATGATATCAGAGCTATATACGTACCTGTACAAGGCGGACCCGTTAGGCCACATCTACACAACACACGTCTGTCCTCCGATACGTGTTTTCTAGCTGTGCACTGCTTCTAAGTTTTTCCAGCATAGGTTGGCTTCATCTACAGGACAAAACCTCAGTTAAAAATTCCAGTTCCACTTAGAGGTTGTGTATGGTGCAAATCAGAAAAAAAACTCAAAGATTATCTAGGTGTGGAAGGTTAGCCGAGTTGTGAACAATGACTCAAAACATTGCACTCAGAAGAAACTTGTATAGGCTGTTCAGCACACTTCCGCAGGAGAGCGGTCTTTGTCCGAATACTCCCCTGTCATCCTTCCTACGGAAGCACATGACTGGCGACGTCTTGGTAGATGGAAAAGACACTAGCGATGACCTGTCATGTTCCGGCATACCAGTAGGGATCGGTAATTTTACAAATCTATTTAACCTAGATTGGGTTTAGCAAACAAGTGTCATTGTAACTGCACCATCCGAAACGTGGTCATGAATGAAGAAGACACGTTACGAATAGAATCTCCAAATTAGATCAAACTCAGCCGTCACAAACACAGAGTTCACCACTAATTCTCTGACTGCATTTAAAGACTGATCAATAATCTAGGGATCTCACTAAAGTAAACTATTTTTTTGAATCCTGGCTTAAAGCAGGTCCGTAAATTAAAACACAAAAGAAGTCAGCGTTGTTATTTTGCCTTTTGGACTTGGTTCCGTTCATGTCAAAGAACCGTTTCACATCAAGTTGGTTGACTAGATAATTAGATCAAGTAAAACAGCTCTGGTTATCTGGATAAAGTTAGGCACAGTGGAGTGAATGAACAGTGGGTACGAGAAACTCTTGGTTGATTCACGCCATTCTTTCAGCAACTGAGAGTTCATTTTAGGCATCATCTTAATTAGGAATCGCTAAGGGATAAAAAAGATCAGAAAGGTAGTATCAGAGAACCACCGTAGAAACGATAATGTAAACAAACGATTATTTTGGTATCCTCAACAGACTCTTACATAAATTTCAGGACAAAGCAATAGCAGAGGAATTGGGAACATACAATGCGGCTTCACAAGATGCGGCTTATTTAACGGTCATAACAAGTGCATATTACAAAAAGGTTGCTTGGTTGATCGCTCCAGGTGTGGTCACTTTTGTTGGAACACTAGATTTGTGGGCCATCTATTATGAACAAGTCATTCGTTTTCGAAGGCGAGGATGATAGTGCGCAAAATTTTTCCCCACACATTATATCACGGTCGCTAAGTGTACATAATCTGGGTATCTTAATGCTACACCGCACGTTTGACAACGACAAGTCAAATTTTATTCGCACATACTACTAGGTTACCATTACATGGACGGTGAGTATCCAACCGCCAATTAATAGCCATAACACGCCCGTTTGTTGTTTAGTTGCTTATTTAACTACTATGAATGATCAGTAGTTAAAGGGCGTCTAAAACGCTGCGGTACCTTCCGGACTGAATCCTTTGCATTGCACTGAACATTAGCGCTTATATGAAAGATCGTGATAAACTAGAGCTACTTCTTCTAATATATTCATCGATTGAAAAAAGTCAAATGGGTTCCACAATACTTCTGAATAGGTTTTAAATTTGACTTCCTTCTTAATGCCGCTGCAGTTGCCTTCGGCTCCGGTCAACGTGAAGAATGCAGCTTGCACGTATAGCGGTCACTCACTAGATCACGCACCACGATCACTCAAACGATGCGACAGCTCCTGTCCCACTTGCAACCTTAGCCGACACCATGCACACTACAACTTCCCATCTATTTCTGTTTATGCGGCTATCACGTGTGTTACGCGCAAGGCTTACGACCTTCAAAACATCAGGTCAGGTTGTATTCATGTTCGCGCAAGTATCAAACACGAAGGGACACCCTTCTCTTCACAGTGAACACAATAAATAGACATACAAGCAACACCATCACACATACGCACACAGGACAGGAAGTCAATCGAGCTCCGCATGCCTCCACGGCTAACGACTGAACAGCCTTAGCAGCTAAACTACAGAGAAGACGTCCCGCGTCCGGAACTTCACTTAGGAAACGATGAGCAACTTTTTGGCTTATTCCACTTTTCGCATTGTATCTATATTTATCAAGGTGCACCTAAATATTGTATTCATCGTCTTTCTGGTAAAACGGACATTTTTTAGTGCCTGTCACCTTCTACTGATCAATTTAATTACGTCACAACAAGAGCATTAACACACGTATCACATACATGGACAGGGTTTTGCTGAAAACGGATTAAACTGATCCGAAGGCTTGGAAATCATCAATTTCTCTGAGAGAAGCGATTATTGAGACACAACAGTAAAATAAACTAGCTCGCTGGAAAGAGGCACGTGTTAAGCAAACAACCCAACGACCTGGGTTAATCACCGTGTGCTGGGTCAATGGTTATTCATGTGATGCCAGTGTGCGTACCTTGCGGATACAGTTGTCGTAAATGATACACAATCCTTTTGTCTTGTCATCGGGGTCACTCCGGTTATGTCTTCCCATACGGCCGGGTTGGTTCCTCCAGAGAGGCTGCAAAGCAGACGAACATTGCTGGCAGCTCCCTGTTCAGATTTCGGTGGCGGTCGCGGGAGCGGGATTGTGATTGTGATTGGTTTGTGGAACTTGCGTCTTCTTGGTTCAATGCTTACCACAGGAGATACAGACACGCGGGGACCAACAAGACGCCTAACCAATTCCGGCGCGATAGGTTGTGCCTTGCAGTGAAAAGACGATTAAGACATAGTGCATCAACATGAAGTACGGGTCATCTGACAAGCGATACAAAAGTAAAGGGACGTTCTGTTTACTCCGGGGGGGAGTAATTGTGTACAGATATATGGATAGAAAATTGAATCAGTGTTATTGTGGCCTGATCAATAAAAATATAGGATAGACTTCAACAGTGTAAGGCAAACAAATGACAAAGAACTACCCAAAAGTACTCTGGTTTCGGGTTGTCTAGAAACAGTTAGTCTAAGCGTCGGGAAGGTTTGTTCAGAAGAAAGAGCAGCTGATCAGTAGATAGAATTCTATTTCACAGACACTGAGACATATAGTCATTTCACAACGTTAACAGGTCACGGTGACTTTCAAAACGATTGAAATTGACCTTTGCATCAAGCTTACTTGGAGTGCTACTTTTATTCGTTTCTGTAGCGCACCGGGAGGGAAAACCGCCTGAACTTGTGGTGCTACAGTAGAACTGATTAGACCGCCTTCTGATCCAACAAGAACAACTTCCTGTCGGAAGCGGGATAGTAACGCAAAGTACTGTGGAAAGTCGTAGGTAAGAATCCGGTGTATCTGACGGCCACGTAGCGTACTTTCGGGTTCTATGCGGTCTAGAAAAAAATACAAAGAGCAACGTGTTTTACTAATGAAGTTTAACATTCTTTGAAGCTCCCGATAACCCTACGTGTTAGGAATGCGGTGAGCTATGTTTAGCATTAAAGTTAATATGCTTCGCTTACGACGTTTAGGCACGGGGAATATCAAGGCCCACAAAAGCGGATACTTTGTCGTGTGTACTGAATGTCTGTTCAGTTAGGAATGCACTTAACTTTCTGATGGCAGAAAATTCTGATGTATCATTTACATATGGCAGAAAAATTTGCTAATCAGATGGGTGTAGTTGAGTCATGCCCCCCATGGTTTCATATCTCGATTGCGTATTTCAGAAACTGGAATTTGCACCAAGACAACCTAGTTATGCAGGGCCCACTGGTTTGTTGATTACAAAAAGGGCATAGAAGAGCTGCCTGATGCCTGATTTAGGCTGGAGCATATAATAAATAAGAGCTTCAACTGGGCTCCATCTGAGTCTCCTGTGGAAACCAACTTAATTCAAACAGATGGATTTCGCTAGTATCAGGAAGGAAAGCAATGCAGTAAAAATTAAAAGCAACAAGGTGAGAAAATAGTGGTGTCGTAGTTTTGGCAGCTTCCGGATTCGTATTTTCCATTACTGTAAAAGAATGCTGGCGCAGTGAGTTGCAAGGTTAGATTGCAAGCTCAATCATGCAATCAAGCACGCTGAAAAGAAAATTATTTCAGTCAATATCACAACTTGCAATCTATCGAGAACCATTCAAGCCCTACGAGTAACTGGAATGTCCATCTGACCGGGAGATTCATATATATATATATATGC